CACAGCTCTGCTCACATATTCGAACGGAAAACGCGGAGTAAAAGCGGTCCAGATCATTTCCCCTGGCTTGGATGTGAATACGCGTCAAATGTTTTCTCTGATGTAGGACATTTCACGTCTATTTATGTTCACATCACTTATTAGGCTGCTTTGCCTTGCTACAGGAAATGCACATCTTCCACGAACCTGGCTTTGAAGTTTGCGGTAGATTTTAGGCTTTTCACTTCAGATGACGCGAATTTCTTGACTGATCACTCACGGAGCTGCATAAGATAGTGCGTCGCAAAAGCAATGTCAGCTATTGCCATGTCATGTGACCAAATATTTTTTTTCGGTAACCGGCGAAATTGGAGAATATAAGCATATATTATATATAATATATGCTTATATATAGAATATATACTTGTATATAATATATGCTTATATCTAAATGATATGCTTGGGTGGTTCTGAATAGCAGGAAAATAGAAAGGTGATACAAAAGTATGTTGGGAGTTTTATCGTGATATTACATGACATTCCATGCACCAGAAAATTATGTTTAACGTTATCGAACAAACATGAGCTATATTGACAGGACTTGGCGTTTCTAACCGTGCTCATGGTTACGAGCAAACAATGTTAAGCAAACAATTCCATTTCAAACCCAGAGTTGAGGACACATGCTTTTTTGCAGTTTGTCCCAATTTTGTTCATTCGTGACCATGAACACAGCTTGAAGCGTCGAGCTCTATCAATATAGCCAATGTTTGCATGGTAACGTTCTTTAACTAGCATCTCCTGATATATTGGGCGCCGGTGATTACTTTATTGAGAAATGCTAGCTTATACTGCCAAAAAGCAGCGCAAAGCATTTCCCCATGTATCAAGGACTTAAACATTGTCATTTTGTGTTTTCCTAGTATCGAACAAGGATCCCTGCGCCACCATGGCCACAGCACCGCTTAGGTCAGCGTAAAGCTTCAGCTTTATGTTGTAGTTCACCCGGGGGAAAATTATAGAAGCCGCACAACAAGCCCCACGATTGCAGCCCGGTGGATTGCAGCGAGGACGCACACATGCCTAAAGCCGTACAAATAATTTGAAAGCTGCCTAAGGTGAACTACCACTGACCTGACCTGACGGGAAGTAGTCGGTGCCGGCACAGCCCCGAGCGCCCAGCGCGTCCAGCCGACCTTCAAAGCAGGCGGTGGCGAGCATTGCGCAGCGCTTCGACAACCAGTACACCTGTGGTCAGGTCAGGAAGCGATCACAGCAATACGCCAATGCTGCGGAGCTCGCCGTACTACATGCGTGCGCCATTGTTCACTCGGGTGCGCCATCGTCACACTCGCGTGAAAATTACTCGCGTGCGCCATCGTTCACTCGGGTGCGCTGTCGTTCACTCGTGAAAAACGCCATGCATGATGCACGTCTTACCCATGAGTAAGTCGTGTATCATGTTTTACCATCACCATATTTTATGTCATCATCAGTTGTATATGTATATAATATTGTCATGGATGGCAACATTGTGTGCTCATAAAACTGGAGAGCATTTCCGTTCAGTGAAACTGATCTGAAATGACCTTTCCTCTCTGCCAAATGGTAATCTGTGTTGCATTTCACATGTATGCGCAAAGAGTGAATAAACCTCATACGCTCTTAGGAAGCTCTTTAAGGGATTAGGCATTCAGAAGGTTATGTTATGTTAGGTCATTGACCCACAGACGTCACGTGACGTTTGTCGTAGTTTATACTTTTTGTTTGCGTTTTCCGTACATTCCGCTACGGCTTATATTTGCACGTCTCGTCGGCATGGGAATAAGCGCCGAACTGCAACATGTTTTATTTCAAATATTAATTCAAAAAAGATGTTTTATGCATAAACAGCGTTTACCAGAGTATTTCTTGATATTACAGGCTGTTATATATTCTGATATTTTCTTTTATGCTCGCGTCCATCTGCTTAGCAAAATGTCTCTACAATAGCCCGTTGATACAAACGCACTACTCCAAATTCCAGAATGACCCACACCTGTCAGTGTCTTGCAGATGGCGTGTCCGGCCGCTGAGGGAGGACATGGAGGTGCGCACCTCTAGTTCCCAACCCGCAATGAAGGTGTGAAAGGCATCAATCTAAATACCCGACAACTTTCAAGAATACTGGCCAGATAGCGCTTGCTTGGCCTATCTTATGTCTTCTTAGTTGCACTTTTAAAGTTGGCATGTTAAGTGATTTACCTTGTATATGAAATATTGCGGGCCATCAACATGCGTATTAAGCTTCCAGCATGTTATTATCTTATCTAGTGACTTATTAAGGAAGAAAATGCAAGTTGTCTTGATTTTCATCCGTTTAGTTTGAAATAAAAGCAGATATATTAGATTATCGTTTGTGAGATGATTCTCTCAACCTACAATTATGACGTTTTGGTTAAACACAACGTTGATCAGGATGCGCAAACAAAGGAAAGAACGGTCGCCAGTGCCCATGCGTGTGTGTCAGTGGCCGCCAGCGTCTACACTTGAAAAAGTAGACAAGAATTTGTGTGATACGTTACCCGCCGGCTTGCCTGTTGGGGAATGAACCAGCTGCAGAGCAGCATCATTTAGTTATGTCGACCGCTGCGCGTTTTTTTCGTCGACGCGCAATGTTGTAAGTCTGCGTGTTATGAAATGTGCAAATTACGACGCGTTCTAGTTGTGAATGGATTCATGCAGGACTTGGAGCATGATTTGGTGGCAATGCTCCCAAAAAAAAACACTAGGTACGCCATGTTTTTGAAGAACAGGCTATTCGTCTCCTGCTTCTTGTGGTTTCGTTTCTATGTAGTGTCCAGTTCAGGTTGAAACGTAAGCCAGTATATATGATACTACGCCAGGCAGCGCCACAGCTGCATACTTAACGTGCGCTCGGTTGGGGGTCAAGTTGTCCCGCCGAAGGTTTTTCCAGAATTATTTCTGAACGACGCGGCGTAGCCGCGCTAAACTTTACATACTGTAGAGCATTAAATAGCAGACTTTTTAACGTAAAAATTAGACGTACCTTGTGAAGTCACTGACTCATGACAGGTCAAAGTCTGGCCATGGTTGTCAGTGAAAGCATTTCTAGAGAATCGTTCAATGTGAAGTGACAATGGAGTGTTCAATGAAGTCATACGGATCTGAAAAAGTGGCTTAAGAAATAAATCAATTGAACTTATAAACTCGACTTATTTCATTGACCTAGGGTCAGGTATGAAAGTCAGAAGAAAGTCAAAACTGATCTGCTCTTTTATGCGAGGGCTTGGCTTCATGGGGTGGTTTCTGGTGCTCATTTCGAATCTATTAGTGACCGTGACCGCAACAGACATGCTGCTCGCACTTTTTACGGTTCATAGTAGGTCACTGACCTAAAATGACCCAGGTCAGCCTTTTTTTGTTTTTAGGAGCATACCACCTAGCGTAATCCCTGACGTTTGTTCGAATGACGAAATAGGAGCACTCTCGTAGGCATTTGCTCGCCTTGGCCTTATAAATATCAAACAAGGTCACTCACCTCATGGACCTTTTGCTTAGAGCATGTATCTAACTTCATGGTGGTCGCATGAGAAAGTTGGAGGGTACATTGTAGGCTAATCTGAACACCAACCTTATTTAACCTCCTTTGGCCTCAAGGTGGTGTCCTAGGAATCTCAAATTTTGACACAAGTGAGTTTACGTACAGGCTAACGTACCCTAGAAGTTTAGTGACTCTAGCTGCCTTAGCCTTTTAGAGTTCAGAGAGATTAAATTGACCCCATCCGAGCGAAGGGTATTACAGATACAACCAGTCACCTGGAACAGACACGGCAGGAAGGGTACCACCGGTCACCTGGGCACAGATTAAAATAGATCGCTCACAAACACGGGGTAGCTTTTTACTTGACAGCCACCTCTAAAACAGTAGTCCTTTTCTGGTACCCACTTAATCTGGAATATTCTGCTCAGTAGCATGCATGCTCTATGGTCTAAGATGCCTTTTTATCACTCATAATTGAAATAAATGTTTTTCTGTGCGATCACAGGCCCTTTGATAGGCCTGTTGCCAAAATTATTGTAAATTGACTTATTTTCTCCGGAAAGTTTCTCTTTTCAATCAGTTCACTGAGTGTGGCGTAAAAAGTTGCAGTCCTAATATATATATATATATATATATATATATATATATATATCCGTGTGTGTGTGTGTGTGTGCGTGTGCGTTTATGTAGGCAAGCCAGAACAGAATCGGGTCTTTCATTTTGCGAGCTGCGTGAGCCATGAGCTAAATGATTAAATACAAGGAATAAGTAGAATAAAACAAAAATGGAACGGCTATAAGTCGTGAGCCGAATCAGATATCAAGATCTGTGAACCAGTCCTCAACCAACTCAAGAAATTTAAATCGCACAAAAGTCTGCTCAGAGATGTATGGCTTTATCTAACCCTCCGTTATTGTTTCAGATTGAACGATGTCCTGGGAATTGCCTTCGCTGACAGCCATGGCCTGACTTTTATCTGCCGCAGCTTAGCAACCTTGCAAAGTAAATCTAAGTTTTTGATACCCAAAGAATGTAATACCAAAAATATCAGAAGATTATCCATTAAATTGGCTACAGCTTTGTATAGTTGGGCGTAGCCACGTCGCACCGTTCGGAAGTTACACTGGGAGAAAGCTTGGATGGGGTCAAGTTGATCACCCGAGCGCGTGCTAATACATCCCATAAATGATCTTAATGCCTAGCAGAGAAAGATAGGGCGAATACCAATTCTTGATATCACCGAGCTATAAAGTAGATGGCGCAACTTCAGCTTGTGGTGCGGAGTTCGATAATGGAGTGTTCATGCAGCACTGCCTGCTCAAACTCTCTAGGTGGGTGAAATACCTTTTCGTAAGACAGAGAAGTAACCATGCTAAAGAGTCCACCTCGTGGATTTTGTTCTGCGATAAGCGAATTCAATCATAGCTGACAGTAAAATAATGCTTAAACACTGCATGCATGATGTCACCAAAAAGCATGACACCGAAAGCTATATATGTAGACGAACCAATTTCCATCAACATTTGCTAGTGCTCAGCTCAGCAGCACCACAGCACATTTTCACAGACGAACAAAATGACGGCAGCCAGCTGCGCGAAGCAGCCAACTACTTCCTCTCTCGGACGTTAAGCGGGAATCGGTTGAGCGCATTGTCGTAGTTCATCCGGTACGTGGCGTCAGGCTGGGTGCGCAGCAGCGGCCCCTGCCACATGTCGGTGGTCTTCGGCAGCGGCCGGGGCTTGAAGTCGTACGTGTCCAGCGCGAACCGTACAGCCTGCCGGATGTTGTAGTGGCTGTCCTCGGTCGGAATGGGGTTCTTCTTCCAGACCTCCTCGTACCAGCGGTGCCGGCTGGCCGGACTGGAGCGGATCGGCTTGGTCAGCATGTCGCAGCGCACCCTGAAGCCGGCCTTGAGCAGCTCTTCGGCGCCGTCGCGCACCTGCGGCAGCCAGTCCTGGCGCGCGGCGGACGGCTGCGGCGCCGGCAGGCCCATCGACGTGTCGGTGGCGCTCGACTGGCCGTCGTCGATGTTCACCAGGTCGCGCATCGTCTCCTCCAGCGAGTCGTAGCTGTCGGAGCGATCGTCGACGGAGCGCGAGCGCGGCGGCCGGCAGCGCGCGCCCACCTTCTCGAAGAAGTCGCGTGTTCCCTCGTCCGACTGCCCCCAGCCGTGGCTCATCTGGCTGCGACAGCGCGAGCGCTGCGTCGCCTGGCTGCGGTCCTCCGGGATCGACTCGAGCTCGGAGCGCCGCGGCCGGCGGCAGTCGGTGCCCCGGCGGCCGCGGCTGAAGCTGGAGCGGTCGGTGCCGCTGCGGCTGCTGGTCTCGTAGTTGACCAGCCGCTGCAGGTCGCGCGTGAACACCTGCAGCTCCTTCTTGGGGATGTTGGTGTAGCCCAGCTTCTCCAGATGCTCTTTCACTTTTTTGGGTGTGAGGTGGCTCATTGTGATGATGCTATGGATTTAAGTTGATTTGAGCTTCGTCTTCAAAAAGGAAGAAAAGGACGCGGCGGTTCAAGCCAGTCTGAAAAGAGTGTGTAACCATCGTTAGCTTGACACATTTCGTCTTTGTTGAACCAATATTTAGTAAGCCATTTGTGTTCAGCCGAAACTCAGGCATTGATACTTTGTCTGAAAGAGTGTTTTTCTTACACGACGCAATTGTCGTCAGGTTTGTTTGATAGGTACACACTCTTTTCTTTACTGCTTGCATTTTGCGATGCCTATGCACAGCACACTGCAAAACAAACGAAGCAAAATATGAGGCTATGTTCCCATTGGCCCCAGCAAGATAAGCAATTCACGTTCATAAATGTGTCTGTGCGTCTTTTAGCTATGCCGGGAGTTGTCCCTCTTTGACCTATACAAGGCAGGGGACATCGCACCGATATGAGTTTTTAGGTAGGGTGATTACTGTGCTGACTGACGTCTGGTTGCGACATTAGACATTAACTGCATTGTGTGTACGCTGGCCCACACAAGTTTACACACTAGCCACGTTACTCGACTAAACACCATGTAGGTACAAGCCTCAACGTCCAGCCAAGGAAGCTTTTGTTCTCATTCTTTCTGCCTTTGATCCTTGAGGCTGTTGTCATATATTCAGCTCAACAAGCACCCTTTTAACCCATGACTACTGAATGTGGCACGAAGGTACGGCGTGTAAAGCGGTCACGCGATAATACGGGGGACATTTCTTGATCTATCGTGATGTAGTTCAACAGATTTACGCGCTGGTTACTTATTGGGCCTACCGGAGCTTGAATATGCAGTTTAAATAGCGTATATGATGGCATGATATTTCAAACCTTCCTCCGAATGTGATGTTATGTTTGAACAAACAATAAAAGGTCAGACATTTTAAGAGGCATGCTGTGACTAGAAGTTCTGGAACGTGTCAACACCAACAGCTTCAGTGGTTAAGCCACATGCATCACTGGCTTATTGATTGCAATCCTCCGGTCTTTCAACACCATATGTTAGTGTACAAACATAACAATGGTAGGCAAAACCACTGAAGCGTGTTTCCTTCCACCTCTTCTCACACGCCGATGGCGTTATATCTAAGATAGTTGTCCTAACAGAGAGCTGCAAAGCGGTGGTCTAATCAAGGTATGCGGTCTCTGCGTAGCTTTTCGCTGCACAAAAATCTTGGATTCGGTCAAAAGATGCTGGAAATTTACCTTTAGATGCGTGTGCGCTTGTTGCACTTGAGAGTTAGGTCCCTTGCCATGCACAGCTTTTTTACGAAGATACTGAGTCCCATCAAGCCTTAAACCACAATTTTAGCTCGACGGAAATGTATCACCGATCATTTTTCACGAGCAACGCAATGCCATCGCACAGGAATGCCTTTTCAGTGCGGCTCTGCTGACTGTCCCTAACTGGCCGTTAATTGCTGTCTCACGAGCGCAGTTCCGAGAAGTGGTGTCATCCATCTGCCACCCGCTGGCCAGTGTATGCTACTCCGAACGAATTACAGGGAACTACACTCCTTCAGCTGAGCTGAAGGCATGGGGCCTTGGCTCCATGATGAAGCAGTCTCGCATGGCAGTTCCACGTCAAGATGACAATCTGATCTTTACTGCAAGCTTTCCTTCTAAAGGTGATGCTAGTATCCTGAATAAGACCACTGTATTGAACGCAGTGTCGAGGATGCACCGCAGAGTGACAATTTGCCCATTTTCGCCATGCAAATGTTTCCGAGCGAGACCGTAGTTCCGTAGTCTGAAATGGCAGATGGTAGATTGAAAGTCCGAGTGATACAGAACGGGAAGATGTTTACAGCCAAAGGCTCAGATCACACTATTTGATTACAATTGTTGTAGGTGTTCGGAAGACGCCTCCAAAACAATACATTAAGTCATTTGGTACAAACCCATTCTTGAGCTGACGAAGGTAAAAGTACCATACCACATGAAACGCAATACCGCTTACAAAACAGGCCATGCGCACGCTGCAAAATAGTAAAGCATACACTGGTGGCATGAAAGTATGGTCTAAATGCACTAAGAGGCGTTATATATTGCGAGAAATTTTCCTGGTTTCCCCTTGTAATGCTCACCCTTATGAAGCAGCCCACGAAATGTCTGGAAGGCCCCCTTATCCGGACGGCTCCCTGGACGGAACCTGAGCTGGCTCACACCTCAAAGTATGTCATAAGCACAAATACGCAAGTAATCATAAGTCTCCTAGAGTTGGAGCCACTTACGACATGGATAATACGACCCGCTTATTTTAAAATCCTTGTTTGCAAGTATAGCATGCAAAAGAGCACAGGCGGCTTATCTACTGGTAGCATGTCTGATTAATTCTCCCGATATCTGAAATTTCCTGAAATGTGGTTGGTGACCAACAGGTATCGTAACCATGTAATTCTGTATAGTGGCATATGGTTGACGTACCTCAGAACAAACGGAGGGCCACTTGCTGGTCTTCCCCGGATATTTGACTTTGAAGTCACTGCATATTGGTGTCTCTTATGGTTATGAAAAGCGATGTTTTCTAACCCCACCCACCCAACAATCGTAAAACTTAAAGGAGCCAAAGACGTCGAAATAAATTTTGTGAAGGCAGACTACAACGGGACAAAAATGTTTGCATGCTAAAGATGCCTCGCGCTTCTTCTTTTAAACCGCCAACGTTTTCGAGGAGTTGCCAAATTCTTTTGTAATAACTTGTGAGAGTACATGCGTCAGCAAATATGGAGAGTATATTTTCTTACGAAGATAAAAGGCGTTATTCATTGTATTGCAACGCACTGGAACTTTTACAAGCTAATGTTCTGTAAATGAGATGCACCTCATATCCTTAATGGCTTTAAAATTTAGCCGCAACGCAGTGCGGCAAATCGGTTCGGGCCTTTCAACATCCCGGTGATTGGTTATGGACCAGAGCACTTATAGTGAGGCCCCAGATGCTATAGTGAGGCCCCAGATGCGGTGTTGAATCGGAGACATTCGAAAAACACACTGGAACTTTTACCATCCAGCCATCTAAGACGCCTGTCAGTTTAAAAAAAATGGAGCTTTACAAACTCGTTTGTCTGTGTCAACCAGCTATTTTTAAGGTAATCGCTAAGTAGACTGTTGGCATGCGCCAATTAAAACCACGAGGCATGTAAAGGAACTTTTCCTTCTTTTTGATCACCCGAATTTCTAAATGTCACCCGATGATTATGCGCCATAAAGCATTGGCATGGCTGGGCGATGTACCTTACAATCAATGATGTCGAAGCTCCAAACCTGACGCAAGGCGCACGCCCATACTGTTAACATACCTATATTTTGCATTGCTCAAAATGTTCAAGGTCAGTTGTGTTATCTAAAATGGGCAAAATGAATTGCATGTTTTTCAATTCCGATCAATGGGCATCAACAGATGCTTTGCAGAGGCGGTTTATCTGTTTTTATTTTAGAAAAACACATCACCGTTACTCAATTTTACCTTATCTTTAGGAAAATCGCAAAACCCTTCACTCCAAATCGCACCTTGCGGGTATGCGCATGATGAGTGAAACAGCTTCATCTACAAGTTGGATGCATGCATGGTTCGCGAATCAGAAACTGGCCTATTTCCAACTAATCTGGTTAAGTGGTTCAATTCTAAACTGCGTTGGTTGTTATGGTATTGCTGCATGTAAACAGACCGGTGGTAAGTGGCATGACTGTTATTGGCATACGACGTGTGTTTGGTTGGCTGAACGACTTGTCACAAACAGACGGCATAAGTGATGTAGGCTCTATATTCTAAAAATGGCATCTTATGTTTTGTGCCAGCTGTATGACATGATATTGCGCATGATACTGCTCCACTGCTACTGGCTGGTCCGAATTCTAGTCAGCTGATAAAGTGCAACAACACGACGCGTTTGCCTCTGAGCGTAATCAGGCGAACGGGCGTTTGCTGACGATCTGCGGCACGGATGGACGTGGCATGGCAATAATTGTTTGCCTGATATGCAATCATGAAAGGATCCTGCACGCTACCTTGAACAATTTTGGAGTTAATGAGGAAGCCCGATGGGGTGCCTTTTGATCCCGACTGGCTGCGACGGCTATTTATGAAGCATATCTTGATGCACGCCAAGGCCGGAAGTTCAGTAATGGTTGGGGATTTCCGGCTCAAGATCCCCAATATTGTGTAAATACAGCTTCAGGGCCACGGTCTGCACACTGAGTGTCTAGAACCCTGTGAGACGTAGGCTTTCTGCTCAACCGGAGATCGCTCACGGTACACACGATTCAACCCTCCTCCAAACTATTGACTAGCATGGATAGAGTGCCAGACTAAACACAGGCCAGTTACTTGCTGTCCAAGCTATCTACAGGTGTACGTTGTTTTGGCGCCAAGTCAATGCGTAACCTTTCAGATTACGATGGTTGCCTTAAATGGGTCATGTTGAAAATGAGACGAAATGTTCTCGTCAAGATAATCTCCAAAAATCTAGGAACAATAACTAATTACAAAGGCATCAGTACGTTCATAGCTTTTCCAATTATGAAACCGTGCAGGGTTTTGGGTTTGGGTCAACTGAATGACCACTCAGGTTGAAACATCACAGGCAAGATGTTGATTTGAGTGCGTGCTATATGACACTACCGGGGCCCACTACCGGCAGATGCTATACTGAACAACGTTGGATGACCGGAAAAACCAATACAATGATCATCGGCTATGCTATCCGATGGCACAGTATGGTTTGGGTCAAGTTGTGACTTCTGAGGTCAAGCTAGGTCGTTGGGGCAAAGCAGTATGTTGTAATGTAATTTACATGCTCTATATCGCTTTGCAATGCAGACATTTGTGTTACAATCAACAGGAAAACGCACATTGAATTTGTTGACACCATTACATTGGCGAATTATTTGGATTTTATGTATATGGCATTCAAGAGGTCGAGGTCAAACGTATCTAAGAGGCAAATATTTCCACTATTTGTCATATGTTAACAACTGAGCGACGACTACGTGATAAACGACCTTCGGCGTGACGTTACGAATCACATCAAAAGCTGCTATTTGAATACATGTGTAGGGCATAGGTCATGCCAAACGACGTCAGGAAGTCTTACAATGCATTGAGATCATAATCATTAATGTTACACAATTAAGAGCAAGGCTGAGCAGTGTTGATCTAGCTATAAAAGACGCCTATTGTGACAGTGCCCACGGGCGATGGCAAGGCAGCCCAAATTATGTATGCAAGGACAAACAATTCAAGGTCATAACTTTGCTCGACCCTTGGAAAATCAGTGTCGCTTGCATGCCAGTATCCCCCCAAAAAAGTAGAGAAATGAATGATCACCCATGCCATATATCTGCAACAATTGCAGTGCAAACCATGGCTTTCGGCACTCACATGTCTTACATCTATCTGAGCCAGCGTGACCTTGACCTGATAACTTCACTTAAACTGGTCACACAGTGCTCACCCCGATGATATCGGCATGGTGGACCATAATAAACATTCATACATAATTAACAAGTGCAGGTGCCACAAATCCCATGACAAGGAACCATTGAACATGTTTAACCTAACTCGACCTCACATGACCTGTTCCTTGCCCTTAGACACAGTCTGACCTTGCATCACTGGCGTAGAAATCGGTTGGATCGATAAAAAAGCAAGTAACGCGTCCTATTTGCTAAAAGGTGTATTGTATCTCCGCAAATACCTGACTGGGTTAACCTTTACAAAAGGGTTTTCTATCAAGACAATTGGGGAAAAAGGTGCTGCAAGATTAAAACAGCGTGTTAAAATTTCAAAAAATCAGCCACTGAAATAAATGCGACCAAAAGGGAATGCTCCACATTTTAAGATATTCCAGCAAGCATCATATATGGTGAAAACGTCCTCTTATAACTGTTGGTATACCTGTAAGTGGAAAAGACTAATCCAGGCAACATAATGTTTCTGTGAAGTAAATATATTGCTCAAAACGTCATTGTTTGATAACGCAATCGTGCCTTGCACAGCAGTGATTAAGAGCCAATTGGCGGCCGTTTTATCAGAAAATCGTGCTCACGAACGTCAAATAGGAACGCCTCTTCAATGATATCGTTATCGGCCTTGATCGGCGCCTGGTCAATGGAATGGCGGGAACTGGATTGAGTTATTGCGACGTCATGGATGTCTGGGTGACCTTGAAATAGTCTGCACGAAGTTGCCGGCGCACCTTCTTGGGCATGTGTAGCCTGAGACCAAAGGGGTTCTGGTCTTAAGAAAGGTAGGGCTGTAGACTGCACCGAATTATCTCCAAGATAGGCACATCAGCTCAAAATCTCATACACATGTGGAACTCTTCGTTTGAAGTGCCTCGCCTTGGGAGCATATTTAAAAAAAAAATGGTAAAGAGAAGTCTCAAGATCTACCGATGACAGTAATCGCACTGGGGAGCGAAACTACATCACGAACGGGGTATTATGCGTAAATCAATTTCGTTTATTTTCAAGTCCTTATTATGCGCTCGACGTTTCAGGCTAGCACCGGACTTCCTTCTTCTTTAAGTAAGCCCATACATCATGTCTTTCATGGACGAGATGCAGTTCTAATGCCCTGGGTGATTTTGCGCACCCGAAACAACGTTCATTATTGTGAAGTTCTTAATCTTGGAAGATTGCTGGATTTGGACGCATTGTATGCAACATTGTTGAAAACATCGTATGTAAATTGAGATGGAAGGTTTTTAAGATATCAAGAAAGCCTTGTTCGACATGTGACGGCCCGCTTTCTCAAAATATCGCATAATGATTATGATCAAAACATTGCAGCCCGTGTCGGAATATTTGCGCAAAGACGAAAATCAAGAGCTTTGATGGTTTTGTAATACACATCATTGATTGCTTGTAGACATTGACAAACTAAAATATGTTGCTTGGTCCCCTTTATTTTCAGTTGTATTAAAAAATGTTCAACACCAACTTCTTCGCTGTGTTTTACGTGCTGTGGTCAGTGGTGCATTGGTGGAACATGCGCGCTACTAAACCAGCTGATGTGTCTCTGGTGTATACTTCCGTTATAAACGCAACCTGGGGTGAAACAAACATCCAAGTCAACAATGCTTTACGAAGCCAGAGTCATTTTGAAGAGAGTCCCAATCCTAAGCGCCGAAGAGCAAAAATCAAGGCCATAGTGCAGCGTTTCGTTGAATTCGCGCGAGAATGACCTGATATTTGTATATCTTTTTTCTGAAAAGAGAGTTCAAGACTCATATTTCATGCCACTAAGGTTTATCATGGTACTAGGATTTTGGTGAATCGGTTCAGTGACCATATCGCATAACACGCACGTTGGGAAAAGCCAAGCAAATAAAAAATACTTTTTCGGTAGTCGTGAAGAGGGAGTCAAATAAGCTTTTGTCGTTGCAGCGCCTACTTCAAATCAGATTTCCTAGCTATTCTGAACGATTTCGACGAATCTGGTATTGCCGATCAAAGCGGACCCGTGTAATCGCATAACATACGCTTTGGAGAGGCCAAACAACTAGAAATTTCCAATTTCATGGTGGTGAAGGGAAAGTCCAATGATACTTCTCCCGCCGAAGTGACTACTTCAAATCAAATTTCTGAGGTTTTTCATAAGGATTTCGAGAACACTGGTGTTACGGATGAAATCGGATCCGTGTGACCAAACTGCGTATGAAAAGTGCAGAAGAGGTGGGATACTCCCTTTAAGACTGCAAGGTAAAATTGCAGGCCAAATTTGCACCTAACATTCATGCGTAAGACATGGCCCGGATACAGTACGGTCAGCACAAACTTTGCAACCCAATGGGAATCTGGGTCTGCTCTAATGTTGCGGCTTCACTTCCATGGTCACATGGGTCAGCACTTAGGTTTGGAATCAAAGCCGATTCTGGGAATTTTCTGATCAGAAAGTTGAGCTGAGCTGGACGGTGAGCAGACAAAGTTCGGAGCAGTAGTGATGCCAAATGGGCTGTTAATCTGTCACGCCGACAAAAACCATCAGATGTCTTCTTTACGCTTTTTTCATCTTCTAGATCAAACTGAAAGGCACTCAAGACATCCTTGGTGTATAGCCCCAGTATGCACATAGCTCATCTTATTCCAGCCAGTAAGCGCAGTAAACACTAGAGCTGAGGGATTTAACCCACCGTAAAATATTTTTTGAGTTCAACGTGTGCTGAATTGCGCCAGCTTTGCCTGGCTCATACAACGTGTTTATTTGTCGGTGTTCATACTAAAGTAATTCTGATTTCGCTATGTAAAGGTATACGCACCTTACACTATAGCAACCGGATGGCGGTACGGTCAGATATGACGTTTTCGGCCATGACGCTTCTATGCTGTTAGCTATCAGAACGCAGAGCAATTAACAATCTTTTAAGTGCTGTGTGCGTGTGCGTGTGCGTGTGCGTGCATGCGTGCATGCGTGTGTGTGTGTGTGTGTGTGTGTGTGTGTGTGTGTGTGTGTGTGTGTGTGTGTGTGTGTGTGTGTGTGTGTGTGTGTGTGTGTGTGTGTGTGTGTGTGTGTGTGTGTGTGTGTGTGTGTGTGTGTGTGTGTGTGTGTGTGTGTGTGTGTGTGTGTGTGTGTGTGTGTGTGTGTGTGTGTGTGTGTGTGTGTGTGTGTGTGTGTGTGTGTGTGTGTGTGTGTGTGTGTGTGTGTGTGTGTGTGTGTGTGTGTGTGTGTGTGTGTGTGTGTGTGTGTGTGTGTGTGTGTATTTATGTGTAGAGCGCTGCCTTCCGACTCACCCACCCGTGGCGGGGTATGTTCGAGTCTCTTAAGCGCTCGCCATCTGCCCTTGACAGGTATGGCCTGCGACGGTGGCAGCGGCCGCGATAAAGGTCAGATGGCGTCAGGGGGCAGGATAGACCGTGTCGAGCATTGCGGCACGATGAGCTTTCGCCACCAAATTCTGCCGTTGACATGGAATTGCGAGTTCGTATGGTAGGGGGCAGGGCTGACACAACAAGCACGGCTTAGCGTAAGCTTTGATCTCAGAAATCAAAGGCTCCGATAAAATCTTTAAAAAAAGGGTTCAAAACTTCGAATTGTCACTTGAAGTGGTTTCCTGACAGCTCCACGTCTGTTGAAAATGACGAGATTCTTCAGATGGTAACAATTCACCACATCGCGAAAGCAGCTCTTAGGCCTTTTTTGATAAGGCTAGTTCCTTTAGCCACAGTAACACAATCGGTTGGTTGTTTCGATGCATAGTTGTAAGCACGGTCCTGCCTGATGAAATTGCCTGTTACAACATAGTTTAAGGCATCTTACTTTTTAGCAGAACAAGAGTTTTAGAGATGGCTCTGGACTACATTGAATCGTTTACATTTTTTGTTCGTAGGTATGTGAGAAGGACACGCGCGCGCCGTGGTCGAATTAAGAGACATTGGATTTCGATGCATCTTTATGCGATTTTGTTCGCGTCCAACGGTGACATCAGCGGCAATGTTATGTGTAGAAAAAATAGCTTGACAGCTCTGACCTGAAATTTTTCCACCGATGGCTGGAAACGGCCAATGAATAATGGAGTACTTCAATGATCATTAGCCGGCGCCCCTTGCTAGGCCATAGACACGCATTTCACATCTGAATGCCTTTAAACGACAATTTGTAGTGTTAACCGTCGACACGAAAGCACTACGGCGGTCGTGAAATCTTATCAAACGCGACGCAGGCTGGGAGCCTCGGCTGGCTGGTCTGCACGAGCGCGCCAGTGACGTCACAGCGCGCGTGCCCGGCGCGGGCCCGTCGGTGGCCGCCGGATGTGGCCGCCGGCTATAAAGCGGCGACCCGACGGCGCCGGAGGCAACAGGTCCCGCTGGTGCGCCGCTCGGCCGCCGGAGTCGACGGCAGAGGTCACAGGTCACCAGCTGGGGCGGCAGCTCGCTGAGGATACCCAGGTCCGGCATCAGGTGGGCCGCCACTATCTGTCCTGTCAGTGACTTTTTATGAAATTGAGCAGCTCGCTCTCCTGTTGAAACTAGCATGATGTGTTCACGCGGCATATAGCTCTTAGCCGATTAAATTTCTAGAATCAGGTTTAGTCTGCACTTTCTAATCTAAATTCAATTCGCCCGCCAGGCTTCGCTTTGCGCCAAATTAATAGTCTCGACAAATAAATATATGATTGGTAGATATAGATATATATCCCTCTCTCTCTTCCTCCTCCCTCTCTCTCTCCCTCCCTCTCTCTCTCTCCCTCTCTCTCTCGTTCTCTCTCTCTCTCTCTCTCTCTCTCTCTCTCTCTCTCTCTCTCTCTCTCTCTCTCTCTCTCTCTCTCTCTCTCTCTCTCTCTCTCTCTCTCTCTCTCTCTCTCTCTCTCTCTCTCTCGCTCTCTCGCTCTCCCTCTTTTCATATTTCTATAAACTCAGCCCAGCGAGGGCATCCCAGAGTGAGGGGGACACCCCAATGACATAATCCAGACATAGATTTACCAAACCTATCCCTAAGTTCTGATTTCTCCTCGGATTAGGGACCTTGATTCTTCCGTCGAAATAAAAAAGTGCTAGAGCTGCAGTGAGTGGGGGAAAATTATCTGGTTAGTGTTTGCGTGGGGGGGGGGACGGACATGATTTCAAAGGCCCTAGCACTACCGGAAGAATTAACTTCAACTGAGAACATTAACCCTGCTTGACGATTGAATGAAAACATACAGTAACTACCTGCACAGGGTTACTGACAACACACACGTACGACCAAACATGTGCCGACAAGTCAGCAGCATGCTGCTTATTAGAAAGTCTTTGAATAATAATAGTACGCAAAATGGAATGCACAAAAATAGAGATAATATATGCCGCAAAACAGAACAATATATCAATGCTAAACGAAAATAGGAGCTGGGAACGGTGGAAACGTGCAGTGGCTAAGTCACGCTGGAAATAGTATTCCTCGGCGAAAGTGGTGATCAAGACGTGGCTTAACGAGCTCAGTGAAGAGCTCCTCGCAACCTCAGAAGAGACTCTTTCCCAGAAAGAGCACAGTCTTGACACTTAATGACTTCTGCTGAACTTGAACTTGAAGGACTATGAGACTCGTCTGTTCATAATAATTTTCAAAATATTTCACCATTTCAGGGGCTTGTCTTTAAACCCCATCTTAAATATCATTTAGATCATGAGAGAGCTGAGGATTTGCGAGTTGGGAAAAATATTACATGTGAGGTGTTACCGATAACAAAATGGTCGGCTTATGGCTTCTCTGCTTTGAAAGTGCACAGTCGCGCTTCTCTGTGTTTGTTTGCCTAATCACGCATCCTAAATGCCTTCCTTTTATTCACCTCACAGTGCTTTGTATTTTATGAAGATAGTTGCTTACCAAAAGTTTCATGAGCTGTAATTTGGCTGATTGTATTGATCGAGTGTAGGTTGTGGCCCTTCCTTTAATAAAGAAAATGATGACGTCTTTTCCCAGAATGAAGAAAGTTACTGCTGCATTAGCTAATAAATTGTCTCTGCATGCTTTACCATCTCACTTCAAATTTGAGCCAATTTGCAGATGTGTGCAGACTTGAATGGTGTGCATGCTTCGGGGTAAACTTAACATCATCTACAACCTATATCATTTTAGAAGAAAGGCCGTCTTCAATTGCATAGACGTCGGGGCGTTTGAATAATGGCGGGTAGGTAAATTTTCTCGGGATAAGTTTAATGAACTGTTACTGGAGAGGCAGGCCCGACGATTTTGCCTAAAGCTGTCTTCGAATCATTGGTAGCATCGCCCATTATTCGAATCTGTGGTACATTTTAAATAACGGGTTCAGGTAAGCCACGTACCTAAGGCATCTTCCTTCACATATAATACGTTAACATATGAGCTGGGCCAGGTTAGTCAGAGCTGTGAACTGGAACGCATGACTCATAGAACCCCAAAATAAATTTTCGTGTGTGTGGATTTCGCCGACTTCTTTCAAGAGATTAGATTTTGTCACAACATTTTAGATAGACAGAAATTCCGAAGTTTGAAGCAGAGTGTGCGAGAACAATACGATAAAAGCCAGAAAACCTGGTTTTCATGTAAAAAACCTGACAGAATGCAGGTGCTTCTTTCGGATGCCTATCATCCGTCAGACTTTTCTCCCGCCCGCCATCGACGGCCACTGCCCTGCCCCGGCTACTGCCGTTGGTAGTGGTCGCTACCGTGTGACTGGCTGCGAATTGATCGTCCGCCTGCTCCGTTGCATGTTCCTGGACCGGCAACATTACTTATTGGTGCATAAAGCAGGTGGGACGCCTGCTTGAGTGGCTATTCTCGAGTTATTTTTTGCCCTGGCACCACGTCACAGCACAATATAACATTTCAAGAACCGGCTGTCCTGAGGTCCGAGTTGGTCCACCGAGCATTCACCTTTCCCTCAACCAACAAAGCCGGCTTGGTCCGTTTTTAGATCTGGAACGAGGGTGCACACTTCTCAGACATGTTAAGTGCCGGTATCTGTCGCAGGCGTCTAACGTAACCCGTGATTTTAGGGGAAAAATTACGCGTTTCATGTATTGCCGGCATTTCATGCAACTTTCGTAAAAGTATGACTCCTTCATTATGTTACCGAAAGTTTAAGTTGTTTCTTGAAATACCCACCTGGTTGAGTACATATACCTGTCAAATGCTTTCCACTACGTATTTCATGAAACGCCTTAAAATGAAGGCAGGCAAAACCGGGCTTAGACTGTTTTGCATAGATGTTTCATGCTTGCTGTTCCGTTAAATGATCAATGTCATTCATTGATCCTTTGCCTCATGGGAAAGAACTAATTATACACTGAGTCATCAGGCGTCGACCGTCCGGTTTTCACCCGTTTCATGTTTGCGATTCAGTAGTCAATCGTTGGGTGTATGTAAACTCATCCACATAGTTTATTGGTGCATTGGTGGTAAACTCCCGCAACCGCACAAGTGTGGCTCAGACGTCGGGCTTCAGCACTTGGTAGGTACTTGGTTTGAGTCCCGGGGGCGGCTGATTGATTTGAGTTTGATTGGTTTGAGTTTGATCCGGCAGATGTCAGTTGGTGGGAGGCGACAGAGTCCCCACGATTATGTGGTGTAACCATATCAAAACATTGGATGGCACGTAAAATCCTGTCTGAACGGGCGCAGGCAAAATTATCTGTCGTACTGGGCGAGGTGGCAGTCTCAAACAGCCATCTCTATACACTGTTCGGACTAAACTAAGGCAAAAGAGTACTGCAATTTGAGAAAAATAGCATGAATTTTGTGACTTAACACAAACAGCATTCTAAAATACTAAAGAACGTTGACAAAACACTTCTCTGCAATACAAAACGCATGTGCGAGACGAACAAACATCGCCATTTGTCGCAGCCTATTTGTTTATACAGGGCACCGAATCGTGGCAGCCAGAAAAGCCTATCTCACGTGCTGCACGGTACTTCCAGCACATCCAGCACTTCCAGTACATGGCGCAGCATTGTTTTTCCCCTGCCCAACCCGCATATCTGGTGCACTTCTGTCCCTGAAACCAGAGCTGTCCACGAAATGCCTCCCGCAAACTCGTGGCGTTCTGGTCGTCATTGTTGGCCGCAGAGACCGTCGCCACTTGCTCGGACGTGCCGGCTCCCTCCTGACGACTTTTTAAACACTTGTTAATCAGCTGTAAATCGCTGAGAATCACGTGACCAGCCCGTGGGAAGTTAGTGCAGCTCATCTTACCTTTGAAGATAACAACACATCGAGCCATACTGATTATTCAAGCAAACAGCAAACGAGGACGACCACACAGTATGATCCATGCTCGACCAAAAGGGATCGTCACCAAGTCTGATCTGGCGTACACTGGCGGCTGCATGCCATGCGTGTTTTGACTGGTGTGCGTGCGTGGTCTTCGTGAAACAGAAAAGTGCATAGTTCGATGACTTGGGCACACGACACACTCCAGGTCGGTGCCGGCGTCGGTGTGATGATGCTGCGATTTCTCGTATCTCGGCGGGAAGCTTACGTCCAACGCCAGTGATATACTTTAGCGAGCATACTTTGCAAACTAGCATGCTTTGGCGAGCACATGGCGTTTATGAATAATCACAGCATGTTTCTTCACACACAACGTTAATAACCAGACAGAAGCTCACTTGCTGCCACATTTTTCACATCCGAAGATCCAGGTACGCAGCTGCTCACGTGATACACTTTTAGCTTAAACGCATGCATTTACGTTAACGCTGGGCTGAAAACGAGGGGCTGGTGTAGCCTAGTCTTGTCTTTATAACACTCGTATCTAGCCATTTTTTGGCTTGGTTTGTGAAGTGACGCGTGGTCTTCCCTCTGGTCTTGCCTGGTCTGGCCTGGTTTTGTCCGGACGAATCTTCAAATCGGGGTCTGCTCTTGTTCTTATGCTCTGTCCATTAGGACCTGGGCCAGTGTAATCTGGTCTGCAGGTCAGCACCGAACCTGATGTGTTGTGGTTTGGTCTGTAGGTCAGCATCCAGTCTGGTGTTTTATAGTCTGGTCTGTAGATCAGTACACGGTCTGGTGTTTTATATTCTGGTCTGAAGATCAGCACATACTTTGGTGTGTTGTAGTCTGGTCGGTAGGTGAGCACCCATTTTGGCGGTTGTGGTCTGATCTCTAGGTCAACCCCCAGTCTGGTCGGTGTTTTACAGTCTGATATGTAGACGAACGCCCAATGTGATGCTTATAGTATGATCTGTAGGTCAGGGCCCAGTCTGGTATTTATGGTCTGGTCTGTAGATGAACACCCAGTCCGTTAAGTTATGATCGGGTTTGTAGATCAGAATCTGGTCTGGTACGGCATGGGCAGGACTTGAAAACAGCGCCTAGGCGGCTTGTATGGTCGGATCAGCAGCTCATCACCTGGTCTGGTTCAGTCTGTCATCGCCTAGTGTGGTCGGATCAGCAGCTCATCACCTGGTCTGGCCCAGTCTGTCATCACCTAGTCTGGTCCAGTCTGTCATCACCTAGTATGGTCGAATTAGCAGCTCGTCACCTGGTCTGGTTCAGTCTGTCATCACCTAGTATGGTTCAGTCTGTCATCACCTAGTCTGGTCCAGTCTGTCATCACCCAGTCTGGTCGGATCAGCGGCTCATCACTAGTCCGGTCCAGTCTGCTCTCTAGCCCAGCGCCTCGTCCGACACGTGTGGGTCGTCTCACCTGGCCCGGTCTGGTCTGGCCTGCCAGCCGACGTCTCCCGTGACCAGACCCGGCAGGCCGGCGCCGGGCCCTCGGACTGAGGGTGCGCCCAGTGGCGCCTATCATCACCATCCCGAATTCCTGGACGCGACGGCACGTGACCTGCATGACCGCCGTCCACGGAGCCGGGCCGCGCCATAACGCCGCGTCCAATGGGGCACGTCGGCTGCCCTCGCCGGGGCCGTTATTAACGCCGGGTGTCAATGGTCCAGGGGGAGGGGCGCGGGCGACAACCCATGCCGTTGACGAATGACGCCACCGTGGGCTTGGGAGGGGGGGGGGGGCGGGGGAGGGCGACGGTTGACGGTGTCCACTTCCCAGGAGAGGGGGCGGGGGGATGGAAGATACTGTGTAAGAATGGGCGTTGGCAGATGGGTGTGGAAATAGTGTCATGCGATAAACGCATGATCTTGGCCACTTTACTCGAGATGTCATGGGTCTCACACGCTTGCGCATGCTTACGACATGCGACATGTTTTAACCTGTCCTGGGCCACTTGCCCCGGAGTTAAACGGCATTATTTCGATGCAGTGTTATAAAAAACCTGGGTGACTAATTTGCAATGGTTTGGATACTTTCATTGAGGCAGCAGAGGCTTGAATGTTGTCCTTTTTAAAGAAAACAAACACGCTGAGGAAAATAGATGACGTAACACACCTAATAGGCATTTTTTGAAGCACATTACTGGCTTGGTTGCGTGACCTGTGACTGATTTAGTGCCTGTAGCCTCGCTAGGTCCGACCGGTGGGTGAACTGTGGCTGATTTAATACCTGTAGTCTAACTGGGTCTGACCGGCGGGTGACCTGTGACAGATTTAGCGCCTGTAGTCTCACTGGGTCTGACCGGCGGGTGACTTATGACTGATTTCGTGCTTGTAGCCCCATTAGGCCTGACTGGCGGGTGACCTGTGGCTGATTTAGTGTATGTAGTCTCACTAGGTCTGACCGGCGGGTGACCTGTGACTGATTTCGTGCTTGTAGCCCCATTAGGCCTGACTGGCGGGTGACCGGTGGCTGATTTAGTGTCTGTAGTCTCACTAGGTCTGACCGGCGGGTGACCTGCGACTGATTTAGTGTCTGTAGTCTCACTAGGTCTGCCCGGCGGGTGACCTGTGACTGATTTAGTGTCTGTAGTCTCACTAGGTCTGACCGGCGGGTGACCTGTGGCTGATTTAGTACCTGTAGTCTCACTAGGTCTGACCGGCGGGTGACCTGTGGCTGATTTAGTGCCTGTAGTCTCACTAGGTCTGACCGGCGGGTGACCTGTGACTGATTTAGTGTCTGTAGTCTCACTAGGTCTGACCGGCGGGTGACCTGTGGCTGATTTAGCGCCTGTAGTCTCACTAGGTCTGACCGGCGGGTGACCTGTGGCTGATTTAGTGTCTGTAGTCTCACTAGGTCTGACCGGCGGGTGACCTGTGGCTGATTTAGTGCCTGTAGTCTCACTAGGTCTGACCGGCGGGTGGCCTGTGACTGATTTAGTGTCTGTAGTCTCACTGGGTCTGACCGGCGGGTGACTTGTGACTCTAACTGGGCTTGGTGTCCGACGGACTGAGACTGGCTGGCGGCTGCTTAGCTCTGACTTAAGGTTTGGTACGTATGGTCACTTATTGGTAGAGCAGGCACGGGGCATTCAGAGGCATGTGCCACGGGCAAAGGTTGTCCCTGACTTCATATGTTTACATCCGCCACTGACACAAGCTGAAGTTTTAAGTTTCATATTAAGATATAATATGAAGTGATTACTATGTGTATCGGTCGCAAGATCTTTTTTCAAGCATCACTGAGGGACACTAAGCACAAAACTTCATGAACTTCGCACGTCCCCACAGCACAATCTCGCAAGAAGCGCACAGGGAAGAAAACATGTTTCGTCGCATGTTGCTGAATATTGGCATGATGGTCGCAGCCATCCATCACTCCGTCAGCGGACTGACGCCGATTGTGATAGCGATGCGATAACATTCGCCAATAGCAGGACGGCTTCTCTCTATCGCCGGCTATTATGATGAGGTTTCCCATCGTCGGCGGTAGCCGCATGCCCTGCCAACATGGACATATGATGAAGCATGCAGCCAGGCAGCTGCGTTTCTCAGACCTATCCTGCCTTCAGTGTTGCGCATTATTCGTTCTTGATTCATTCCGCGTAAATTATCGCCTTGGCGATAACTCAGTCGTGCGACTTCCAAGCAATGCTACAGGCTCCTTCGTTGAATCGCTCTCGCACCTCAGGTGAGGTCGTGGTCATCAGGGGCGCGCGCGCGCACACACACACACACACACACACACACACACACACACACACACACACACACACACACACACACACACACACACACACACACACACACACACACACACACACACACACACACACACACACACACACACACACACACACACACACACCACACACACACACACACACACACACACACACACACACACACACATACGCACACACACACACACACACACACACACACACACACACACACACACACACACACACACACACACACACACACATACGCACACACACACACACACACACACACACACACACACACACACACACACACACACACACACACACACACACACACACACACACACAGGTCAGGTCGGTCAGCAGCAGGTCAACAGTGGTCGGGAGTGAGAAGGCGGTTGAACCAATTGAAGTAAATTACCGAATGAAATAAGCGACGTTGAATCAAACTTTGGTCGGCATTTTCATCTTAGATTACAAATCGTATGGTCGCATTGAGCCCACTACTTTCTACCGGCAACCATGATTTCGGTATTGGACCAACCGCTGCAGCCTGCTCTCGGTATCGGACCAACTAATGCAACCATGATCCCGGTATTGGACCAACTACTGCAACCATGATTTCGGTCCAAGTGTGAACAACCGGCTCCCCGCGACAGAGGGGTCGGCCGGGCCCAGGGTCGACCCTCTCAAGACCTCGCGTCTCACCGTATCGGCTCCCCGCGACAGAGGGATCGGCCGGGCCCAGGGTCGGCCCTCTCAAGACCTCGCGTCTCACCGTGCCCGCAGCCGAGGCGGCCGGCGGCTCGTGCCGTCGAGCTGACCGGCCGGTGCCCCTCGGAGGGGCCGGGGCGGCCGCTGCGCGCGGCGTCGCCCCATCGGTCAGCCGGATGGCCGCCAGATAGCGGCCGGAGGGACCGCGCGCCGGCCTCTATCTGTCCGGTCCGCTGCCGCCGCCCGCCGTCCCGGCGCAGCCCCGCCCGCCGCCAGAAAAACAGCCGCGCCCGGGTGGCGGCGTGTCTTTGTGGACGATCAGCCCGTCTTCTGCGCAAGCCGACGCCGCCCAGGGGGGGGGGGGGGGGACGGACCCGACCAAACCCCGCATCGGGACCTATGAAGCAAACATAACCAATTTGTTTAGTGGCACGCCGCCGGCTTCCGAGCTGTTGGATCGAAATTGTTTCCAGGAAAGCTCCCGAGCGAATGCAGCGGTAGGCCATCGTGTCGTGGGAAATCTGCACAAATCATCAGTTTCATTACAATCTACAGGCATTTCCTTCTTCTATTGCAGTTAATGGAGGCAGTGATCGATAGTTTGGTTCATGACGCATATCACCGTTATAGCCGTAAGGACTCGTTACGGTATAAAAGGCACGAAAAAGCTGAGAGTCGGAAAGTTAATTAAATATAGCGTGCACAAGTCATATTACCGAACGCGGGGTTACACTCGGCTTGAAAACCTATGTCAAGTTTCCTTGATCCCAAAGCGTTGAGCTCACACCCAGCCTGATCACTTTCACTCCTCGCCTCCGTAATACGACTTCATGCAACAGCCCATTGGGAAATCAACAGAAGCTCGTTTTTCTTCATAACGTCCATTCAAATCGGTAAAAGCATCAGACGCACTAGCCGCCGTCCCAGCCGGCGGCGCACTACATTTCCCCAGCTGGCTTCCCGAGAATGTCACTATCATTTGCTGTCCTGGGCTGACACTGAACCGCATTCTCCTCCGCTTCAGGATGGCGTGGATGGCGTCAATGCTGATACTGGGTGCAGCGGTGTCACTCTCCAGAGCGGCCAACGTCGACGTGCTTAGCAGGATCGACCGCAGCCTCATCCCCTACAGCGGCATGAGCAGCGCTCGCAGCCCGCTAAGAAGGTCAGCGGCACGTCACCGGCAGCAGGGTTGGCCGTCGTCCGACCTTCCCGGGCTGTCATGGGCCCGATGTGCGATCCTCACAGCGTCACGCAGTGCATGACAGACGATTGACCCGTCATCCGCCTGACGGCTGACCCGACTGTACGGCTCTGACATAAGCTTCATGTGCTGTCATGCGCCTGATGCCATCATTTCGTTTAAATATGTGACACGTGACAGCGCGCACTGCCAAGGCTGAGATGGAATTGCTTTAAAATCACAGGGAGCGCATTGAGATTCCGGGTCATTTTTTTTGCACAGCATGCACCGACCCCACGTTAGAGTTGAGAACCATTAGGGGGAGGGCGGCTCGATCTCCTCCAAGGTTACTAAAAGTCCTATCCATGTTTCAACGCACAAGAAAAAGATAGACGTCTGAAATCATTTTCTCCCAGAGAACAATACTTTGCACACATCGTAGAGCACTCGCCGCCAGCGTCACCAATCTTGGTGCGCCGCAAACAGCTTTGCGCCAACCATGGGGTGGTTGTCTGCGTGCTCTCCGATAAATTGGATAGTGGGGCACGCACAAACAGACCGGACATGCGCTGGGTCAATGGATAACGACCACCGGCGATCGTTAAATGTTGTGCACGACTGTGTAAATGTACCTTTGGTCGGCACGACGCATTGACGCTGCCGGCATCACACCTGTCGCTAACAACGACCCTCGCCGTATCGTGGCCGTCTCAGCGGTGTGCAGTTTTGCCGCCGCGCGCGAGTGTGTGTGCGTATGACTGATGGGGCTTGTCGTGCATGCCATTATCGCTCGGTCGTTGCCGAATGACCCCCCACGCCACACAACAAAGCCCCGAGTGCCCACTCTTAAGCTGTCACACCCCCGCAAGCAGAAACACATGGCCTGGGAGCGGGAGTGACGCCACTCGTGCGACATCGATGGCGCGTGACGGCCACCGCGTGACGCGTGGAGGCGCCGTGACACTCGCAGGGTCAAGCGGGCTGAGGGCCGCGCGGTCTCAGGTCATTGTGCGGGCTGAAGCCTGGACACGCGGTGTGACCGTGGGCACGACCAGATCTGACTGTCACGAGTGGGCCAGGTCACGACCAGATCTGACTGTCACGACTGGGCCAAGTCACGACCAGGTCTGACTCACGAATGAACCAAGTCACGACCAGATCTGACTGTCACGAGTGGGCCGAGTCACGACCAGGGCTGACTGTCACGAGTGGGCCAGGTCACGACCAGGGCCGACTGTCACGAATGGGCTAGATCCCGACCAGGTCTGCCGCGAGTGGGCCGAGTCACGACCAGGGCTGACTGTGACCAGTGGGCCAGGTCACGGCCAGGTCTGGCAGTCACGAGTGCACCGAAAGTCTAGGCACGTGCCAGTGCAACGTGCCGATCAATTGTACGGAACCCGGCAGCCGCGGTCGGCGCAGGCTCTCGTAACGTGTTTCGAGAGTTCAGTGCTTTAAATACGGCGCAGAATGGAGAGATGAAGCGAACTGACGATCAAGTTCACTGAGGACGTCCGTGCTTTTGCAACACTTCCCAATCAAGCAAAATACTAACATGCCGAGAACGAACGCTTCATTATATTGATGCAAAAGAGCAGCCAAAGACCTAACACGTCCTGCACGATTTATCAAATCCCGTGAGCCATTTGCGCTGTTTTCTCGCTACCAAGGGTGCAACAGCAGCGTGAACCCGCTACTCGCCCTTTCCAATGTCCATATTCCAAATTACATTCCGTATGGTCTGTTCTTCTGATGAAGTACTTTGTTCTCCGTGGAAAATTGTAGCAGAATCTGCACTTCCACTAGACATTGTACTTCACTCAGCGGCGAAAGAGCCGCCGTGCTCTCACATTATTAAACGAGGATGAAGCTAATCATGCTAATGCAGTGATGCGGTGACACCATCCAAGCGGAAAGTTTCCAAGAAAGTCCACAACACACCAAAACTGGTGCTTTTGGAGTCACTTAAGTGGCGCATAGCTTAAAACGCTCCACAAAGATGGATGAACATCTCATACTTGATTTTTTAAAGTGAAGATCACCGTTGGGAGTTTTGGTTGTGGGTACAGGGCAGGTTGTTTGACTTATGCCCATCCTTAAAGGATAGACATGAGTCAAACCGTTCCACATTGATATGGGGGTTTTAACTGAAATAGTCATCTTAAAGACTTTTCGGTGCTGTTCACAATGCTGCCCATCTTAAGACCAAGCCCCTCTAGTTCCTGAGAAACGCGCGGACGAAAATGGAGAAAGGCATATCGGAGAGAGTATTTCAAAGTCACCTTAGCTTTCATGACGTCATAATAGCGTCATTCAAATCGTGCCATTCCATAAGCCATGCGGTGATCAAGGGGAAGAAAAACGTAATTGTCGAGGCGTTTGTATCTGGGGTTCGTGAGCGCGATCTCCAGATGCAACGGCCGTTAATTAGATTTCAATCAATGTTGTGCAAAGTTACGATGAAGTAATCGAACTATGACGCATTGATAAGCACATTTACTTAACAGAGAACTGTGCTGTCTAGAGCAATCTTTTGCTTTTAAAAAGTATACCAATAGTCGTTAGTGACCTTTTAGTAATATAATATGTAAGAAAACTTCATCATATCTGATACTTGCTTCACTATCTTCAACTGTGAGACACTCCTTATAAAAGGAGTATCCCACCTTTGTCGTACATTTCACTTATTGTTACATAAGACGCGTAAGTGCGATTTGATCAATAATACCAGTTTCCTCTATATCCTTTTGAACAGGCCAGAATTTATATTTTAAGTCGCCGATCTGGCAAGAGAAATCTCACTCGACTCCCTACTCATCACCATGAAAGTAATGCATTTAATTTGCCTGACGTTTTCCAACGAGTGTGGTCTGCAGTGTTTGCAACACATCGATGTGTCAAATGTTCGTGTAATAAGTGCTACGCAAGCTTGAAACACTGTTCAGGCAAAAATATATGCCAACATGAAGCCATTATCCCGTGAATTCATGGATACTTAGTACTATGGCTTTGATTTCTTCCCTACGACGTTTTCCACAGTGGCTCTTTTCTAGGCGCACTTTAACTTTGGGAGTGGGAGCATCACATGATCTATATGACGCGCTGTTTCAGTCTTAAAGGGAGCGTGTCTAATCAAGTTGGGATTTTCAACTGTACGCGTAGTATGGTAAGGAATTTCGATTTAGCAATTTTGGTGTCACTGGTCTCCACCAATTCGCCTCCACTGACAAGATATTGCCACAGACCACACATTTTCTTCGGTTTGTATGGAAGAACGAAGTTATCGGGTAGCCCCCAAGCATTATTCACGACTACACACATCGACATCGTTGAGAAGGTATCGTTAACTCTAGCCAATGGCTCTTCGAGGATGTCGCTTGTCAGCCCTGACAGGAGCTTGCGAATGCAGCGATCGCGGCAGCCGGTTTGTTTTCTTGTCACATTCAGCTGAGGGCTAAGGGTGCACGGGGTTGGACGTCTGGTAAGCGTTCGAAATAACAAGGCAGGTAAGCTGAAATTGTTGCTGCGATGTCGCTGGTACACCAGGCATGCTCAGGGTACCATAGTTTTCCGCCTCGAATTGCGCAAAGAATCTTCAAGCGCGCACCGCTCTGTACCGCCAGCGCTCTCCCTATACGAACAATACCGTAGCAACCAAGGTAATGGCCATGCCACCAGCGCGCAGTCATTCGCCACACACGAGCTAGTGCATTCGCCCTTTCCCGCTCGATGATTGGCTCATTTTTCAGCAGTGTTTGTTCACGCCCAGCCATCAATGCGATCCATAAAAATGACTAAATCAAAACTGTCGCAAGACCAAACGCACATTTTATCACTAAAAGTAGCCATGGATAAATGCAGAAACCCCCTTAGGTGAGTATTTGGAAAATCGGAAACACTGGACATATTACCTTTAAACCAACCAATTTATCGCTAATGAGCCCTTGCCCGCTGGGCGAATCACAAACGTTCTTTTATCCATACTAATAGTGATGCGCGCAGTTGTTGTCATGACAACGGTAGTTTGCTGTTACATAGCCTTGATAGCGTAATTTGGGCTCGAAAACAATGAAAACTGACATTCTTTCTTTTTTACGGTGCTGCAGTGGCACTACCCAGTGCTATTATCGGACTGACTTGTCCTGAGCTTTCACAACAGTGCGTTTTTGAAATATCTCCCAAAGATAGGACACTACCTTTAACGGGACTGTTCCACATTTGTATGGGATTTTGAACTGAGGCGGACATTTTCAAGATCATTCCATGCAGCTTGCAGTTCCATTATTTATGAAACATCTTTTTTGATTTCTGAGCTATACACAGGCGAACTTGTGCAAACTATGTCGCGCCGACCAATTCGAGGTTACTCAGGCATTATGCCGTCGCAAAAACGTCAGGTAAATTGCCCCACCCCAATAGCCATATTGTGCGTAAGGTAAAAACTAATATGACCAATGAAATGTTCGTGTCTGGAGCACTTCAGCGTGAATCGTCGCATCCGCAGAAAGCAATTGGTGAACAAGCAGTTACAGGGACAGGTAGCATGCCTCGATTACTAACCGCGTGTTGTGATACATGATACAGGCATTTGGGCAATCCTTTTAGTGATGACGGACAATAGGGTAAGCATTGATGACAAAGGCATAGGCGATACCTCGCCTGAATAACGCCATAATCGAATGGTGTACCAATGCAAGTAAAAAATGGCAGCACGGAAATATAAAAAAGAACACCACAAGAAAAGACCAAAGCACGTGGACATTCCGCTAGTGACACAAGTATAGACGCCTAGAGTACTAACGTCATCTCGCGGCGCCTAGGGCACCACAAGTGAGTCACTCCGTCTGCTACAGTAGCGGGCAACCAGGCGGCAACTCTGACGTCATAAAATCGTTTCGTACGTCGTCAAACGATGCCGCATTGAGGAGAAAATTTAATGGATAATGAGACCTTGTTATTCAAGGCAGTTGTTTGCATTTCAAAGCGTGCCAATAGTTACAAGTGAGCTTTTCGGTTATATCTGATGCTTGCCTCAATGTCTCACTTCACTTCCTTAAAAAGAATTATCGCGTCGGTGTGTTAATTGCCCAGTGTGAAAAACCACTCCTTTTCTCGGGCCGTGCTCATGGGCGTGCATTATTCTCAAAGTAAATGTGCAGCGACGTAGTGCTTGCTTCGATCCAGCATATACCAAGGCACAACGCCTTACCTTCTCACTGCATCTGTCACTTCAACTCCATCCACGCCCTTATGTGTTTGTTGGCAGGTACCGGTACCCCATTTACACCAAGCGAGCCTATGTGGAGGACCAGGATGAGAATGACGATGACAACGCTCCCGAGACCGACAAGCGCTTCCTCCGCGGGCTCAATCTGCGCCCGCTGTCGCTCGGCTACCGCGCCAAGAAGATGCACGGCCTCGCGCCGCGCTACGACATCTCCATGACGCCATATGACCTGAAGGCCATGGCCATGCTCTACCGGAGCGGCCGCCGGAAGCGCACGCCCGACCTCTACGACCTGAAGCGCATCTACCGCATCTACGAGGCGGGCCGAAAGCGCAGCGCGTCGGCGGCCGGGGCCAGTGAGGGCGGCACGCGCGAGCGACGCGACTTCTCCTACGACGTGTGGGACGCGTCCCGGCTGGCCGACGCCGGCAAGCGGTCGCCGGTGACCAGCTACTACGACCTGCTGGACATGGCGAGGATGGCCAAAGCCGGGAAGCGGGCGGCGATAGACGGATACCACCTCTGGGACCTGGCGCAAATGGAGCAGGCCGGGAAACGCTCCGTCGACGACTTGGGCCTCTGGGACCTGGCGCGGATGGAGCAGGCCGGGAAACGCTCTGTCGACGACTTGGGCCTCTGGGACCTGGCGCGGATGGAGCAAGCGGGGAAACGCTCGGTGGACAACCTCCACCTTCTGAAGCTGGCTGGTATGGCCGACGCTGGGAAAAGAAGCGCTCAGCACTTCATCGGCCCCTACAGTTACAAGGGCCTGTACAGTCTGTACGGAAAGCGCACCGCGAATGGGGAGGACGACGACGAAGGGCACTCGGCTTCCGTGGCGGGATCGGCCAAGCAGAAGCGCAGCTTCGATGACTATTTCGGCTGGGACCGTAAGAAGAAGTCGGTCGTGGAGGATGCCATGACCGACAGCTACTTGGCGACGTTGAAAAAGCAGATGGCGGACAAGACGGAGAAGAGAGGCTCCTCGGATGGCATGGGTATGGTCATGAAGAAGGCGACTGACGGTGAGTGGATGAGCACCCCGGCGGCAGCCCTGTTCAGCAGCATCGCTTATATAAATAATGTTGTAATATCTGATGCAGCCATGGCCTGCAACGACATACGAGCAAAGTAATTCAAACTACCCGGACTCAAACTCAAGGCCTGTGCAGCTTTTATCAGAATGAGCGTCAACATTACCCGACAAAAGAGCAAGTTGTCAGCTTCTGTGCCTGTAGATAGAATCACACGCCAACCTTGTATTTACGGGCTGTGTTTACAAAGCACAACTTTGTATGCCAATCGCAATGCAACTTTGTGTTGACGAGCGAGCGGCTGTCTCAGTCTTCCCCACACAGTGAGACTTCTAGCATGCGATGTGGGGCAGCCCTGAATAACTGAGCGCGTAACCGAGCGGCCTGCGGCAGGAGCGATCACCCGGCTCTCTTTTCTCCTCAGGTGATGAGGACTAGATCGTCCGCCGGCCCGTCCCAAGCCAGTTGGAGCGAGCACGGATGCCGACGCCGGGCCCCGGGGACCGCCGCGGGACAAGATTAGGGCCGGGGTCTCTCGGGCGGCTCCGGCGGCGCCCGCCGCCGAGAGTCCCACCAGCCAATCAGCGGCCCCCGTTTCGGCGCGCTGCCCCGTCAGCGCGTACCCGGCGGCGGTCGTCTGCGCTCGCGGCGGCCGGCTGATTGACGTGACGGCGCGCGACAAGGAGATGCTGTCAGTGAAGCGACGCTATCCTACCGATGGCGAGTGCCGTCGCGTGACTCTCGTACAAGATGTGGGACCCATGAGGCCGGCCAATCACTGTTCGATGTGATCGCATCCCGAAACCGGTGCCCCTGACTGGTGATTTCCGATGCAGTCTCCCGTGCGTTCATTCTGTTGCGAATGCAACCCGCTCGGTTAAGATGTAGAGGTTGTTTTACGCCGATGCCTGTCATATCATCGTTTGTAGGTACCCTGTGAGCACGGCTAGAAGGTCTGAGGGTATGCGGAGTAGGACACTTCATAGATTTTAAAATGTATCGGTGGGACCTTGGCGAGCGTCAAGTGTTTCGATGCTTTAAAATACCTTTGATGATAGCGGAGGATCTTAGAAGGAGAACTCTTCGGCGATGCCCGCTACCAACTCAAACGAACAGAGGCTGTCCTGATTTGTGCGTTCGTAGTATTTAGTGTCCCTTTTCAACTACCATCAACAATAAGTATGTCTACCGTACATGCCCACTTCATTTTCAACGTTATTTATGTATTGTGACATTCGGCAGGTTCAAATATACTGAACTCTGAACAGCTAACAAACGTTTTTAGGTTCTTTTCCCTTGACGGACCTGCCACGAAATATGTCAGACATCACTCGTTAATGACAGCTGATATATTCATGAAAACGCTGTTTATGTTCAAGACATGCATTCATTAGCTAGCTAAACCTTCACAGACGTTTTGGGAAGCTCGTTGTTAAAAATAACAGTCATGCAATCGCTGCTGTTTCTTTCCGTAAACATCGAGAAGACCTATTTTTAAGCAAAACTGCTCTTGCATGATCCGGTCCACCCGTGCAGCTTCCTGCCCCGGAACATTTCGAGATCAGTGGAGATGTCTGTATGCCCGGTCCAGAGACCGGAGACTGTCAAACGTTTGGGTCCCGATCCATTGCTAACGGGGACGCCCGCCGACCGGCGCCAACATCCGAAACAACCCGTCCGGGCCCTCACACCGGTCCGAGCCGGCCGTCCGGGCCCACACACCAGTCCGAACCCTGTGCCGGTACACCTGTCCGAACGGGCCGCCCGGGCCCGCACGCCAGTCCGAACCCCATGCCGGTGCACCTGTCCGAACCGGCCGTCCGGGGCCGTACACCCGTCCGAACCAGCTGTCTGGGCCCGTACACCCGTCCGAACCGGCTGTCCGGGCCCGTACAACGGTCCAGATGAGCTGCAAACTTGGTTCATGTGTTTGGCTGCCCGGTCGCCCTCGTGGGTCCTTCCGATGCTTGCCCAACATCACTGGAGCATGCTAACGCATGGTTTCCATGCGTTAGCTTTCTAGTTTCTAGTTAGTTAGCTAGTTTCCATCGCCTCCAATGCATGCTAACGCATGCATTGGAGGCGAACAAATATCGAAAACCTATCGTAGGAAAGGCATGCCTTTTTTGGAAAGTGATGGGCCACCAGATATTGATCCTTAGCTGTTTTTGTTGTTACATCCTGCGGCCCGCGCGTAATTTCACCGTGGGGACGGGGTCATATCAAAAATGCTTATTGAAAACTGAGATCAGGCTGAAGCTGCGTTTGTTACTGAAAACTGTCGCGCGCTCCTGGTGCACAACATACTTGCGTGTCGGAAGACAGCATCGTATCTTTCTCATCTTCCTTAGTAACGTGTCCACCTGAAATTTTAAACTACAAGTTTGTTCAAGGGAGCGTTCCATATTTGTAAGGGGTTTTGAACTAAAAGAGCAATCTTAAAATGCAGTTCATAGTCCTGTCCTTAGAGGGAATGGCCCATATTTACAGATATTCAAGCAAGCATGAGATATCACAAAATATTCTCACTCGTAACTGCTGGTAAACTTTCAAGTGGAAAAATACTCTAGGTCGCACATTTTCTCTGTCTAGTTTAAGCATATGTTGCATTTACGCATTCAAATATGCTTCTCAATGCGTCATTATTTGATAACGTCATCGCATCTTGCACAAAATGGATTAAGAGCCAGTTGACGGTCGTTGTATCTGGAAATCATGCTCATGAACGCCAGATATGAACGAATCGATAATAATGCTTTTCTTGACCTTGATTACCACTTGTCTGATGAAAAAACAGAATTTGAATGGGTTATTATGGCCTCAAGGGTGCCGGGGTGACCTTAAGATAGTCTCCCCGAAAAAGTCTACACATCTTCGCGGACATGTAGGTCAGAAATTTGAGTGGCTTAGGTCTCAAGAAGGGCAGGACTGTGAACTGCATCGAATTACCTTTTATATAGCTGTTTCAACTCAAAACGCCATACCAATATGGAACACTTTCTTCAAGACTTACGCCCCTCTAGCTTCTGAGCTGCACGCCCACAAATATGTGAGGACTACTTTAGCGATACTTGTTCTGGGTCCCCCCGCATCCATGACACCATACTGACGTCATTCAAATCCTGCCATTCCACTCGCTATGCGGCGATCAAGACCAAGACACGTCTTTATCTAGTCATTCTTATTTGACTTCTGTGAGCACGATTTCTGGATATAACTGCCGTCAGCCGGCTTTCAATGACCATTGTGCGAAGAATGATACCTAATCAAACAATGACGCATAGAGGAGCATATCTACTAAACAGAGAAATTGTGATGTCCGGAGCGGTATTTCCACTTAGAAATATACCATGAGTTATAATGGTGCTTATTTTATCACATCTGATGCTTGCTTCAATGTTTCCCGTTGTGGAACATTCCCTTTAAGGTGGCGGAGAACGTGCTCCCGGGGATATTATGTGAGTACGCCGTCACGCATGTATCTTACTTTATAGCATTCATTTTATGATAGTTAATGTTGCGAGTACGGGAACCTACAAAGAATAACGAGCACACGCAGGATATCCTTGGCATTGACCGTTTACAGTTTAGGTGGTAGCGTGTGGCTCCGGTGCGACGTGTGCTGTACATGAGTCTTCATCTAATTTCCATGCAACTTGTTGGGAAAAACAGCGACGCATAGTGAACAGGGCCGGCAGCTGAACAAGACTTCTTTAAGTTGTTCCTCCGCCTGAGAATAATAAGCCAAATTCTTCACTTTCCGGGCACTCCTGAAACGCCTCCTCGATCCAAATTGGAGCGGTCTGGAATCTTCTTCAAGCAACATCGCAAGCAACATATCTTCTTTGCCACCATCCACGCTTAGAATTTAAGGGGAGATTGCCGCCTTTTTGTATAACTCATTTGTTGTTAGATCAGACGCGTACGAGTTGAATGGTTGCGCCAGTTTTGTCGGCATCTTTCTGAATAGCTAAAAATTTCGATTTAATGTAGCCGCACCGACGGGAAAAATGTCATTAGACTCCCTGCTCACTGTTGTGAGAGTAATATGTTTTATTTGCCTTGCTTTTCCAGCCTATGTGTTGCGTATTATATGCAGTACACTGAATGGTCAAAATGCTTGTGCATTACATGCTTCGAAAGTCTGGAACGCTGTTTAAAGAATAAAATAAACAAATATGAGAGACTTTCACGCGAATTTAGCGAAACGTCATACTCTGGCTTGGATTTCTCTCCTTTGGCGTTAGCGCACTGGCGCCTTTCGAAGCGCACTTTGCCTTTGGGAAACAGACGTGCCGCATGGTCTACGGTAGCGCAGTGGTTCGAACCTCCACCAATGCGCTTCTCGGTACTGGCTGACGCTGCTCGATGCGCCAATCACAAACGTTCGTCTCTACTGACGTTACCCAAACCAGAAGAGGTGACGCTTTTAACACCGCAGGCCCACACTGAGAGAGCTCAAAGTGATATTTCTTGGTCATTAAAGATTGACGACAGCACGGAACAGATTCCACCGCAGTCAGCGATTGCAGACTGGGGTATACTCTGGGGATACAAAGAAAGAAGTCGCTTGCTGTAATGAAACGTCAACTGGGTGATTTGGACACGAAAATTACTACAATTAATTGCTGTTTTTATCTTGCTGATGCTGCGGTGGCGCTATTCAGTGTTGTTATCATGTATACCTGGTCCTGATGCTACATCAGGGTATGCTGTTCAATATTCCCCGACGGTGACACACTCCTCGCAAAGCCGATGTAACGGATAAGATAAAACAGGCGAAACGACGCTCACCATCCAGAGGCAAACGAAGCGGCGATGGGGATCTGGTCGAACGGTCGGACGCCCGGAAGGACGTGCGTGAGTCCGGGCGCGGAGAGGCAGCTTCAGCAGCGCCGGCTGGCCGTCCGGCACCGGGGCCCGAAAGCCCGGACGGCAGGGTCATGTGTGTGTAGGGCTCGGGGCGCAGTGCACGGCAGCATACGAGAGGGGTGAAAACATAGGGGAACTGAGGTGAGTCGGACGATGAATGCGATGCTACTGCTGCTGTCTTTAACTTGTCGGTAGGAACAACTGTGAATGATCATGTAGTGTCCGTCAACACACGATTATTCTCTCAGTTAAAGAAGCTAAATGTCAATTAGAGAAGATCCAGTTCAATCAAACAAATTAACACCAAATGAAAAAAAGATTGCTTCCAATCGACGGATATAAACAACAAGGCAAAAATATAAACTTTAACATAAACATGCGATGCACTCGACTGATCGGACAACAACAATCACCATTCAGCCACGGGTGCAGTTGGGTGGTGTAATCTTTCGTTACAAGACTTCAAGCGTGCTTGTATTATGCACGTTTTTTGCCACCTAGTGATGCTGCAGGAACTAGCGGCGTTATCTGACACCACGCGAAGACATCCACATATCAGATAAATATACAGTTTGTTTCCCACGACGAAAATGACAACAGAACAAGTTTCAGTTGTTTGGTCAACCTGAGGGCCTGCTGCCAGGTGCCGCGCTGAGGGCCCGCTACCAGATGTGCTGAGGGCCCGCTGCCAGATGCCGCGCTGGGGGCCTGCTGCCAGGTGCTGCGCTGAGGGCCCGCCGCGAAATGCTGCGCTGAGGGCCCGCCGCCAGATGCTGCGCTGAGAGCCTCCTGCCAGATGCTGCGCTGAGAGCCTGTTACCAGATGCTGCGCCGAGAGCCCGCTGCCAGATGCTGCGGACATTTGACATGGGAACACTTGATTCCATCACGACGGGTGACGCCCCCCCCCCCCCCACGCCAGGGATTGCCCCGACCTTCCTGGACGAGCGCTTCGCAGCGCGTATCACAAGCGAAGAGGCAGACAGCGCATAACCGGCGCATTTCCCGAATCTGACCCGTCTAGACTTTTACCTTCCTGAAACCCCGAGTCTGCATGAGAACCCTGAGGGCCTCAG